GGATGCGGCACAGGTTCCCCTACCTAGAGTCTCTTTGTGATGGCAAGCAGACTCAACTGGGTTGGAGTCATCAGAAGAGCGACTCCCTGGGTGGGGTCCAAATCCATTCAGCCCCCAGAGGTTTTACTTGGCCACAGTTTGCCTTTGTCTGTTTATTGTTGTCTGTCTGCTTGCTCTGTGTGCCTTTTGCATTTTTACAGGCTAAAATTATGGGTTTCTCATAGTCCACAGAAGGAACTCCACTTGATTGTGTTTTGAATAACTTCAAAAAAATTTATTCCACAGACAGAGAAGATAAATATGGCATGAAATTTTCCAAAGGCAAATTGCGAACTCTGTGTCAGGTGGCCCCCGGTGGGAATTTATTCTGTGCACATTGCTCACAAGGTTTGAAATGTGGTCACAGGAGTCGGGGCCCCACAGGTCCCGATCGACCTTTGGCAGTTGATTGGGACAGGACTATGGTCTATCAGCCCCATCTTCCTCCTCCCTTTTTCCTTTAAAACAGACAGAGCCCAGGGGAAGATTGATTTATGTCCCTTTTACAACTAGTGATCTTAACAATTGGAAACATCAAAATCCCCCCTTCTCTGAAAAACCTCAGGCATTAATCTCTTCTTGTGTTTTTCATAACCATCAGCCAACCTGGGATGATTGCCAGCAGCTTTCACAGATCCTGTTCACCACTGAGGAACCGGACTGCATTTAACAACAGACAGTCAAAGAGGCCCTGGGGCCAAACCCCAGTGTCACTCCCGGAACTCCGGGGCATTTGGCCAAGGTTAAAACAGTAGTTTCATCATGACACCCCGAATGGGACCCCAATGATGATGACGGTAAGAGGAGGCTGGGGACCTACTGCCAGCACTTATTAGGGGGACTCCAGAGAGGGGCCAGAAAGCCCACTAATATGAATAAGGTAAGTGAGGTTTGCCAGGGAAAAACGGAGTCTCTGGCTGCATTTTTGGAGGGACTCTTGGAAGCCTATAGAGTTTTCACTCCTATTGACCCAGAGGCTCCCAAAAATGCAGCAGCTTGAAATCTGGCCTTTGTTTCCCAGTCGGCCCCAGACATTAAACAAAATTACAGAAATTTGAGGGATTTGAGGGAAAGAACAGGACTGAACTCCTGAGCATAGCCCAAAAAGTTTATGATAACCGTGATGCCCCCCCACCCAGGAAGTCCTAGCCAAGAAACTAGGAAAAGTCATTATTGCTGCACTCCAGACATGAGAGACAGTCCCTCTGGACAGAAAAAGAGAAAGCCACCTTTTTGGCTTTAAAGAAAGCCTTAGTGTCAGCACCAGCCCTGCCCCTACCTGATGTCACCAAGCCCTTTCGGTTGTCTGTGGCTAAACGAGGGGGCATAGCCAAAAAAGTGCTAGCTCAGGCATTAGGGCCTTGGAACAGATCTGTGGCCTACTGTCTAAAAGACTTGATCCTGTGGCAAGTGGATGGCCTACCTGTTTGAGGGCAGTTGCGGCCACCACCCTCCTGGTCAAGGAGGCAGATAAGCTCAGCTTGGGACAGGACCTGGTCATCACCGCACCCCATGCGGTGGAAATATTGCTGAGAGGAGCCCCAGAACAATGGCTCTCCAATGCTCACCTGACTCAGTACCAGGCCCTGTTGCTGGATGCCCCATGCATCAAATTCACCTGAGAAATGACCCTCAATCTGGCCACCTTACTCCCGGACTCCGACTCATACGCATGCCCCTCCATGACTGTCTGGACACTCTGAGAACTTCCACCACCAACAGCCCAGATCTGACTGATGTTCCCCCACAAAGCCCAGATGAGACCTTCTTCACCAATGGAAACAGCTTTGTGGAAGACTGAGTCAGGTATTCGGGGGTGGCCGTAGTCAGTCCAGAAAAACAGGTACACTGGACACAGGTGTTAAGCCAAAAGACTTCAACGCAGAGGGCTGAACTAATAGCCTTAACTCAAGCCCTGTTAGGTTGAGACAAGGCTGTAAACATCTACACTGACAGCCGGTATGCATTTCCACTGCCCATGTGCATGGCGACATCTACAGACAGAGAGGGCTATTGACATCAGAAGGGAAAACTATCAAAAAATTCTGGCCTTATTGGAGACAATTTGGGAACCCAGGGCATTGGCCATTATTCATTACAAAAGCCACCAAAAAAAGAGACAGCTTCGAGGCCCGCGGTAACCGAGAGGCCGATAATGTGGCCTGACGAGTGGCCAGAGAACCAGTGGGGCCAAGAGACATTCTGCCCATCCGACCCTTTGGCTACCTGCCAGAAAGACCCACATATAACCCGGAAAAAAAAAAAGAAAGAAAAAAAACCAAAAGCAAGGGGGTACAAAACTGGACTCAGGCTGGTAAAAAGGGACAAACGAACGAATTTGTCTCCCCCGAGCCCTGGGGCGACAACTTGTTCATCAGTTACATCACTTAACTCACCTGGGAGAATCAGAGTTAAAAAGACTAATGAGCTCTAAGTTTTCAATCCCAGGACTGACCTCTATGGTCCAGGACATCAGTTCCAGGTGTCAGGTGTGTGCACAGGTAAACTCCAAGGTGAGACCAAGGAGCAAAGGTAATCGACTATGGGGAAGAGAGCCAGGGGGATATTGGGAACTTGATTTCACCGAAATAAAATACAGCAACAGGTTCAAATATTTACTGGTATTGGTTGACACCTACTCAGGTTGGGTAAAAACTTTCCCCACTCCTGGAAAATCAGCCAACATAGTAACTAAGGTTTTGCTCCACGAGATAGTTCCCCGATTTGACATCCCTCGTTACCTGGGGTCCGACAATGGGCTGCCTTCACGGCACAGATATCCAAATTGTTGGCAAGGGCACTACAAATTGATTGAAAGTTACACTGTGCCTATCGGCCACAAAGTTCAGGGCAAGTGGAAAGGATGAATAGGACCCTGAAAGAAACCCTGACTAAATATGTTCTAGAAACTGGCAGTAGGTGGCCCGATCTGCTTCCTCTAGCCTTGTTAAGAGTTAGATGTACCCCATATGTGACAAGTTTACCCCTTTTGAAATCCTGTATGGGAGGCCACTGCCACTCCTAAGTTAAACCTTGAACAGGTAACAGAAAGTTCTTGTGTCTCTTTACTTCAGTCTCTTCAAGCCTTACAGATTCTTCAGAGTGAGATCCAGGCTACAAAACAACAGGCTCAAGAAAAAAACCTTTGCAACGTTCCAGCCCCACGGTTTCAAGCCAGGAGAACTGGTCCTGATATATTTGGTTTGCTTGCACCGAGGACTTGACTAAATACATTACCAAATCAGTCTTGGCTACCCAATCTGCCACTTTATTTTGTGTCACCGTGTATGTTGTTCCACAAGTCTTGTATTATAATAAAAAAGGGGGCCGTGAACATCTGGGATTAACCACTGAACACTATAGGGGTAAACGGGCTGGCCCCGTTTTGGTGCTGGGTCAGTGGCTATTGGAACTTCCTCCCTGATCCTTCAGGACAAAAATTTTAAAGCCCTAAGCCACCAAGTAGCCAGAGATTTGGGTCACCTGAAAGACTCGATCTCCAGATTAAAAAACCAGGTTGATTCGCTAGCTAAAATGGTCCTACAAAATCAAAGGGGACTTGACCTCCTGTTCATAAAACAAGGAGGGTTATGTGTATCCCTAGGAAAAAAAAACCCTGTTGCTTCTATGCTAATCAGTCTGGTGTCATTAGAGATACCTTAGCTATGGTCAGGGAAAATTTAAAGACTAAATATGCTCAACAAAAGGATCAAAATTGGTTTCAAGATCTATGTGACTGGTCCCCATGGTTAACTACCCTACTTTCTGCTGTAGCAGGCCCCTTAGTTATCTTACTTTTGTTTTTGCTCCTGGGACCTTACATTATAACTGCTCTGACTAAATATGTTAGACAGAGGGTTGATACAGTTAAACTGATGGTGTTGAGACAAAATTATGAGGTTTTAGAAGATGCTTTAGAGGAAAAATCTGAAGAATAAATACAGAAATCAAAGATTTGATTAAGTTACAAGAACCAGTGGGGAATGAAGGACCCTAGTTAGCAAGACAGACTCTATATTGCTACTGAACGACCCACCTGCCTTCCCTTTAGATGAACTCAAAAGGAGGAAGCTTAGAAACCTCCTCCCCTTAGAGTCTCTTAGAAACAACAATTAATCAAGTATTGTTTCACAAATGTTCTAACAGCAGGACGTTCCCCTTCGGTACCTTTTGCTTGCTTTACTAGTTCTAGCCCATAGGGGGGCCTAGAAACTGCTGGCCTCAAAGGTGTATAAAATATATTAATCTCCCCCCATTTGAGGCTCGAGTCCGGTGCTCGGTTCGGGTCCCGGCCGGTAATAAACTCCTGTGTGGAATTTTTTTTTTGTACCGGGGATCGAACTTGGGGCCTTGCGCTTGCGAGGCAGGTGCCGGAACCACTGAGCTAAATCCCCGGCCCACTCCTGTGTGGATTTAATATCGGTCTCTGGTTGGTTGTTTCTCGCTGGGTGTAACAAAGGCAATTGGGGTGCCTGCATCCTGCCCCCGGGGGTCTTCTATGTGTGGTGGTGAGGGGAGCATTTAGCACACCCATTCCCTCGCTCTCGCCATCTCCACGCACAAATCCCTGCACTATTAAACGCCGTTTGAAACTAGGTCTTGGGCTGTAAGGAGAAACTTCAGGTCCACCAACCTGGACACCGGAAATCAGACGCCAGGAAGCAGGCCGGAAGTCTACGCCCTCAAGCTTTCATTGGGTGAAGTCACCCCAAAAGAACCGGAACCCGGCCAAATCCTGATTCCATATTGACCAACACCTTGGGGGTGGGACTTCGCTTCCTCAGGACTCCTCATTGGCTAGTTTGGCTTGGTTCTGCTTCTTATTGGCTAAAATCGGTGGTGTCTTATACTCTTTCCGCTGGCTGGCTGGTAAGTGAGAACACCCTTGCCTCAGCCAACCCTACTCATTTTAAATAAAAGTCTAGGACCCAGTCTCCTTTTATCCCGAATTCCACAGGGCTTCTCTTCTGGGGTTTGCTCTCCGGAGGCTTTCGAGTCTCGCTGAGCCTGAGGATTTAAGGAGATGCGAGCGTTGAGAGAGGCCGGAACGATTCCTTCGCGGAACCTTTGAGGCGAGGCCTCTGGGGGCGCCTTGGGGGACGTACCTTGGAGGGCCCTGCCAGGCGAGCAGGGATGGCGGCGGAGACGGCCGGCGCGGACCCGAATGTCGCCATCCCCTTGGACCTGCGGCGGGAGCGAAACTTGGTGTGCGTGGAGTACCCGGGCGGGGTGCGCGACGTGGCCAAGATGCTGCAGACGCTGGGCGGCGAGGAAGGCATCTCCCGAGTAAGCCAGGAATCTGTGGGACTACGCGAGAAGGACCGCGTTGGGCTCTGGGGCTGGGGGGCGGGGCCAGACGGCGGAGCGGTTCCCTTGGCAACCGAGAGGGGCATGTCCTGGGTTGGTGGGCGGAGCCCCCGAGGAAGGGATTGTCGGGAAACCCAGCCGGCTCCATTGCTTCCGGCCCTGACGTGGCCCTGTCCACCGCACCTGCGGATCGCAGGGTGTGCTGAGCCGCTTCGTCCTTGCCGCTGGGGCACAGGGAGATTAAAAACGGCTCAGGCGGGCATGGCGGCGCAGACCTGTACCCCACCATCCCGAAGGTGTGCAAGTTGGAGCCCAGCCTGGCCACCACCAATTTACCGAGATCCCCTCTCAAAGATAAATAAGGGCTGGGAGGTGCGAAGTCCCTGGGTTCAATCTCCAGTACCCAAAGGGGAAACAACACCAAAACCCCCCGTGGACCCTGTTGTTATTGGCCTTAATGGTAGTGTTAGCCCATATCTTATTTTGTGCCAGGCACATTCCAGTCTGGACGCTTTGCTTACGATCCGTCCTTGGTAGACTCCCCCAGGGTACAACTGCAGTGTCTGCTCTTTAGGAACCAAGCGTTAAGCAGCAGCGGGTGCTGGTAGAGCCCCAGCCAGTCATATTTGGTCCTTTGGTGCGGACTTACTTATCTGTCTGGCTTTGACACAACCCTCACTCTCACCCCAGGGGTGCGCTGTACCCAAAGACAGCGAGACCTCTGGCGAGGAGTCTTCCTCACTTCTTCGTTCTGATGTTTCTTGATCGCCGCATCTGTGACAAGTGCGTCCTTACGTTCTCCCGTCAAAGCTTAGCGGTGTTTGTTTCTTGAAGAGGGGTTTCCCAGGATCAAGGGCCCTTTTAATCCTCATTCCCTACCCGGATCGCTCCTAAGGGTCAGGCGCTGTCCCGGGTGTGGGGAGCCAGCAGACTACATGCAGGTGACTCCCAGTGCTCGCTGTTGCTGCTTTCAGACAGTCGCGGCATCCCTCTCACCCTGTGTGGAGCGACGTGTGCTGAGTGTTTACACAGAGCTAAGCACCAATTTAAGTGTTTTACACTTATTTTCCTGTCGTTGTCACCGTGCTATGAGGCAGGTATTAAGGGTTTTTAAGGAGAAAGAGCCGGGGCTTCAGAAGTTAGAAGTCACAGACCAAAGTGGTTATTAGTGGCTGATTCCATCCCCCCGGACCCAGAAACATCTGCATATGAGGCTGAATACCACGTTCAGTCCTGCATCAGAATGGGCCGCTTCTGGAGCAGGTAGCCCCTAGGCAAGTCACTCAACCCTGCAAGCCTCAGCTACCTCAAAGGTAAGCCAAGGATGGTATAGCACCTGTGACCGGAGAGTCCCGTTCTGAAGCCACTGACAGAGGGTGGTTTTCACTTAACTGGCCATTGTTATCTCCATCTTTACAACATCTTAGAGGGAAGGAAACTGTTTTTCTGCTTTTTCTTCATTAAGTAAACACTGAGACACTTGGTTTTTTGTTGAGTTTTGTTTTGTTTTTTTGAGACAGAGTATTGCTGTGTAGTCCAGGCTGGCCTTGAACTCACTATATAGCCCAGGCTGGCCTCACATTCGTGATGATCTTCCTACCTCAGCACTCTGGGATTGAGGCTGAGGCAGGAGGATCGCATATCAAGCCCAGGCTGGGCAAGTTAGAGACTTTGGAGTCCCTGTCTCAAAAATTTAAAAGGGTGGCGGTAAAAGAGGTGGCACAGTGCAAAAGCCCTGGGTTCAGTCCCCAATCCCCCCCCCCCCGTCTTTTGGGGGATTAAGAGCTCAGGGTGGACCAGGAGCCTCCCAGCCCTTCCTGCACACCATCAGGCTTCAACTAGAGAAGCCAGCAGGCCCTGCTTACTGCTGCCCCCTGTCTCCCTTGGCCCTGCTGCAGATCTACACAGACCCCACCAAGAGGCTGGAGCTGTATTTCCGGCCCAAGGATCTGTACTGCCACCCTGTGTGTGCCAACCGCTTCAGTACCAGCAGCTTGCTGCTGCGGATCAGAAGAAAGACTCGGCGGCAGAGAGTGGTGCCAGAGGCCGAGCCCCGCCCCCAGGTCACCTTCGACCTGGAGATCCTGGGCGTCGTCTCCACCATTTTTAAATTCCAGGGTAACCAGAATCCCCCATGGTGTCAGGGTGTTTCTGGGCTTGCTGTGGACTCGGGGGAGGTGGCTGTTGCCATTCATACCATCGGGACCTCCCCAGAGGATGTGGGCGTCCGTGTGGCAGTGGCCAGCTGCTGGGCCAGTGTCCCTCTCGCGGTGTCCTTCACTCGTCCACTTCTCTGTCCAGGAATGTCTGACTTCCAGTACCTGGCCATCCACACGGAAGCAGGCGGCAAGCACATGTCCATGTATGACAAAGTGTTCATGCTCAAGCCCGAGAAGGAGAGTTTCTTCCACCAGGAGCTGCCGCTCTACATCCCCCCGCCCATCTTCTCCCGCCTGGACGCCCCGGTGGACTACTACTACCGACCAGAGACGCAGCACCGGTAAGGACCTGCCCCTGCCGCAGCGCTGGGCTCAGCCAGGGCCCTGCAGCCAGAGGTCCTGGGTCTGTGGGTTGGGAGGTTCCGTGCGCCTCTCAGCCTGTTTCCCATCTCACTCGGGCTGCAGTAGTTGCTGCTCAACCATTATTATGGCAAAAGAGCACGAGTCCTGGGCACAGGGCCGAGCACAGGGCAAGGCCTTGATAAGCACTGGCCTGGTGATTGCCAGGCCCTGTAAAGTGCGGAGAACTCGGCTGTGGGCCTGGAGGGTGCCTGCCAAGCAGTGGTCTCTTTGGTTTAATCTCCTGGACCTTGCTGCCCGGCCACCCTCTCACCGCCCAGGAAATGCTGTCTGCACACATCCGCTTGGACCCAGCCCTTTGCCACCTGCTCCCCCACTCAGCCTCACTGTTCCCGCCCCAGGCAGAGCTTTTACAGGTACCTTTGGCTTCCATCCTCCCCTGCCATGGCCCTTTGCCAGGCTCCCCCAAGAAGCTCCACCTGTGCCCACTGTTCACAGTTCCCGTCGGGGTCTGCCCAGCTCCCACCCACCCGATGTCACCCCCTCAAGCTGGCTGTGACCTGGATCTTGCCTGCTGTGTCCTGTCCCCTCCTGAGGACAGGTGCTGGGTGTCTGTGGGTCAGGGGTGAGCTTCTGCTGTGAGGGGTGAGAGCCAGACGGTGACTCACAGGCGCCGTGCGCACACCCTGAGGAGACCACCTGCGATTTGGATGGAGGGCGCCCTGACATAATTAGGGGCCAGGGGTGGAGAGGCAGGCCTGGGCATTGTCCAATGTTGGCTTTTCCCTGGAGCCCAGCCACACGTTGTTGACACGGAGGAATAGGGTTCCCTGTGTAGAGAACCCAGGATTGAATAGTGTGCACAGAAATGAGGAAAAGGTGTTCGAGAGTAGGAAATTCACTAGCGCCCCGTGCTTGGCTTAGCTGCCCCGGGGAACTGCCAGGCCTGGGGGGTATCCTGGCGCTGGAGCGACTGGCCAGGGCTGTGTTGTGCCCGTGTTACCTACCAGTGTGGGAGCAGAGATGCGGGTTCCAGCACCACGCACCACGCGGGCCGCATCGAGTTCTGTCACACAAATCCTTTGGCCCTTGCGCAGGGCTCAGGGCCACCCTGTCCTTAGTTTCGTGTGTTTTCTTTTTTAAAACCAGACACACAATAGGTTTTAAAACATCTCGTTTTATTGTGAACTCTCCAAAGGTCACAGTTTGGCCTGCTCTGTTCCCTGCTATAACCTTGGTACCCAGAGCACAGCCTGGCCTGGTGGAGAAAGCTTTTGGGCAGCAAGGTTTGTGCCGACAGAAAAGCAGAAGAGGAGAGGGCAGCTTGAAGCTCAGCCGATAGGTGATGCTGGTGTTTGTTAGGGCATTTTCCTTGGGAAATGTGGGCTCTTTACACTGACGTGGCTCACACCTGGGTCTTCATGCTATGGATCGGGCAAGTGCTGGGGCAGACTCAGGAGCCCGGTATCCTGGGCCGCATGGCAGACAGCTCCGTTCTGAGCCAGGCTGGGAGCAGGACAGAGCATGAGCAAATGGGCAGGTCCCCTAAAGAGGTGGTAATCGGTGGGGAGGCAGAGGGGTTCAGGGAGCCCTGCGGGAGCTGCTGTTTTAAACCAAGGGGTGATCCCAGAGCTGGTCAGGTGAAGACCCAGGCGGAATCCCATGCGGGGAGGGGCTGGGAGCCGTGCCCCAAAGCGAGGGCCACTGGAAGTGTGGGATCTCCTGGGCTGAAGCAGTGGGCTTAGATCATTCTCGGAGGTGCATTGTTCTCTGCCTTTACGGAAACACTCTGAGTTGGGCACTGGGCTGCACACCTATAGCGCCAGCAAGACTTGGGAGGCCGAGGCAGGAGGATGGCTGGAGCCCAGGAGTTATACCTGTGAACGTGGCTGCAGCAGGCACAGTGCTGAGCCGACTTTCCTGTGCCCCTAAAATGAATACCCACTCTGCCCGGCCTCATTTTGCCCCATTGTCCCAAAAGTGGTTCGGGAGCACCAAGGGCCTCACACGTTGCTTTGATTGCTGTTGCCTGTGCCCGTTGAGCCTGTCATGCTGCCGCCCTCCCGACTGTTCTGCTTGTGAGAGTAAATGGTGCTTCTCAGAAGACAAACAGCTACAGGAACATGTAACTAAAAAGGGTCACATGGCCTGGCCTCCCTGCCGAGAGCCCTTTCTGTGTGTGCCGTGCGCCAGCGTGGGAGTTTTGAGCGGGCATGGTGGTGGCGGTGCGATCCTTTTTATTTATTTAATTTTTTTTGGTACCGGGGATCAAACTTAGGTCCTTGTGCTTGCGCAGCAGGCGGCGAAACCACTGAGCTAAATCCCCGGCCCTATGATCCCTTTTTTAAAGTTACACATTTCTGAAATGTTTTGAGTCAAAACCAAAAATACGCAGAAGAAAGTGGAGCCCCTTCCACACAGCTGCCCCCGGCAGGGAGTGGCAGCTCGGGGGTCCCTCCCAGTGTGGCCAGTGGGCAGCTGTTCCCAGTGTCTGGGGGCGGGGACAAAGGACCGGTCAACCCAGGGTCCCCAGGCCACTGTCTCCATCTCCTCTTACATGGAGGGAACGCGCCTTTCTTCCCAGCCAGCTGCCGGCCTGTGTGTGGGTCATGGGGCCGCACTTCCTGTGGGCTGGGGAGACTGGCTGGGTGGGTCCCTGCACTCCGGGGACCCCTCCAGGCTGGTCCTGCTGATCCCTGCCTTAGTTCTCCATGACCTTAGGATCATGGCGACACTGAGCCCGGCAGGGCGGGCAGCAGAGGAGCCCTGGGCGCTCTCCCCGTGGTGACAGCTCAGGAAGGCGAGGGTGGTGCCTGGGTCCCTTCTTGGGGCTGATGGGTTTCCAGATAGAGCTGGAGACCAGGGAGTGTTGCACCTGTGTGGGGTGGTTTCTCTAGGGGCACTGTTTGAAAGAGCACAGATTGGGCCTGTCTGAAATTTCATTTCCCTGTGTGCGAGTGGCCTGTTAACTGTCAGCATGCAGTGCGGTGCCCTGGTGTAGAGAAAGATGTTAACATCTGAACTCCTATAGTCGCAGCAGCTCAGAGGCTGAGGAGGAGCCCTACAGCCCAGGATTTTGAGGCCTGCCTGGAGGTGTGGCGGTGCACACTTGTAATCCTAGCACTCAGGAGGCTGAGGCAGGAGGATTGCCACAAGTTCAAGGCCAGCCTGGACTGCATAGTGAGACCCTGTCTCAAGAAACCAAAATAGTGGATGTAGCTCAGGGGTGCTGCGCCTGCCTGGCAAGTGCAGGGTCCTGAGTTTGATTGCTGGTACTGCCCCAGAAAGAAAGAAAATGAAAAAAAACCAAAGCAAATAAATACGTTTTTAAAAACCTAAAAGGGAAACATTTAAAAGACAGTAGTCACCTGAATGAAATTGTGTGATGTAGCCGGGCACAGCGACGCACCCCTGTAATCCCAGCACTTTGGGAGGCTGAGGCAGAAGGGTCACAAGATCGAGTCCTACCTGGGTAACTTAGTGAGACCCTGTCTCAAAAAATATAAAGGGATGGGCTGGGGATTTAGCTCAGTGGCAACCACGCCTGCCTCGTGAGGGCAAGGTCCTGAGTTTGATCCCCGGTACCAAAACAAACAAACAAACAAATAAATAAAATAAAAGGGCTGGGGTATAGGAAAGCCCTGGGTTCAACCACTAGTGCTACAAAAAAGAAAAAAGGCGATTGTGTGATGTCCGTCCATTAAAATGCACTTCACAGCGATGTGCTGAGGGTGGGTCTGGAGGAAGAGAAGCAGCCGAGTGGTGTGTGCTGGACTCAGTGCAGCTGGGAGGCCACCAGCTCGTGACAGGGGTGCCCTTTCCCAGAGCCCAGCCTCTAGCACCCTCGGGTCTTGCCCGGTCAGCAGCCTGAGGACACAGGTCCTCCAGCAGCCACCTCTAAGACCCTCCCCTCACCCTGTTTCCCGGAAAGAGGCCCCCAAGTGTGGGCCGCTGGCTTCCTGCCAGGCCCATGCCCTCAGCGGTCTCCTCTGCCCCCAGGGAAGGCTACAGCAACCCCCCCATCTCAGGTGAGAATCTGATTGGCCTGAGTAGGGCCCGGCGCCCCCACAATGCCATCTTTGTCAACTTCGAGGACCCCGAGGTGCCCATGCAGCCCTTGGAGGCTGCGGTCCAGACTTGGAAGAAGACCTGCACCAACCCCATTGACCAGGAGGTGGAGGAGGAGCTCAGGAAGGTGAGTCCCTGCCCTGCCAGCCCCCAGCCACTCTGCATCTGCACCACGCATCCACCTGGCTGCCCCGCCCTGTGTCACTGGGGGTTGGCTTCGCCAAAACTGGGTCATTTGTACTTGCCGTATGATGGCCATGCCAGTGTAAACCCTGAATTCCCAAGGCTGAACAAGGCCTCTTAGAGTTCTTAAGCAACCCTCGGGGTGTGAAAGGGTGCCTTGTTGGAAAGTGATTGAACTGCAGACCTGGCATCTGGCAGCCCTTAGGTATCATTTAAACAAACCAAAGGCGAGCTGACTGTGTGCCAGGCCCCGGCACTTTTACCCTAGGTAGAGCTGGGGCTGTCAGCTGGCAGTGCACCTCCCCTCCGGCCACAGGTGCTCATATGCAGGAACAGCAGGTTCTCAGCCAGGTGCACCCTGCGACCTGCGATGGGGGCTCAACTTGCCTTGCTTAAGCTGAGGTTCCCTGCTCCTGGGATGGGTGGGTGTTTCTCAAAGAGACCGTGAGGCTAGCGTCCTGCTGTGTTTCCAGCAGTCACCTGGCAGGGGGCGCTGGCTGTGGTCTCGATGTCGTCTGGGCACAGTGGCCTTTTGCAGTGTTTCTCCTGGCCAGGACGCCCCCTTCACTTTCATGCTGTCTCAGCCCAGAGCTGTTTGGGCTCCTAGGCTGCAGCCTGCTCCCCTCAGCCCCATTCCCCTGCTGCAGCAAGAGCTGCGTGAGAGCAGGGCTCATGTCCTCTGTGTTCCAGCGGCTGGCCATGCTTGTGAAGCCTCTGGTCTTCACTGAGTCCCCCCGGAAAGCCACGGGGGCCTCGGCCCAGGGGAAGGAGGGCAAGAGCTGCTGGTGCTCATTGCCGCCTCTGCCCTCCCTCCCCAGCTGTTTGAACTCCGCCCCATCTGGTCACGCAATGCCGTGAAGGCCAACATCAGTGTCCACCCCGACAAGCTGAAGGTCTTGCTTCCCTTCATGGCCTATTACATGGTAAGTGTCACCCAGCCCGCGCGCCCTCCATTCCCACCGGTGCAGGCCTCAACCCTGAGGCGATATCTTAGCTGCACCACCCCATCCCGGCCTCCGGAGACAGCTTGTCAGAGCCAGCTAGAAAGGTTTCCGGTTCCGAGTCCACGGTTTCCCACGGCCTCCTAGTAACATTCGGGCCATGTCTGGATGACTTCAGGATGAAGTGGGGAGAGGGATTTTGTGCTGCAGGAGGCCACCTCGTGAGTGCTCTGTAAGGACAGCCGTTGGGTGAGACTGCACTTCACACCCTCTGCATCTCCCCAGGGGCGGCAGCATAGATCCTTTCCATCTCTGAGGAAAGGCCCAGGCTCAGGTAACATGCCGAGAGGCAGCGCCACCTGGACTGCAGCCGCCTGGCCTCGGAGCCTGGGCCTGGCCTGGAGTGCCCTGACCTCAGCTCCTGCTTTGACCCTGCCCAGATGGAGGCCAGGGATAGGGTGGCTCTGCTGAGGTGCCCAGAGGTTCTGGCAAGGGGAGCCTGCCTAAAATGTGACCATCAGGGTTGGGGCCTGGGCACAGCGACACACCCCTGTAATGGACTCTGCCAGAGTCCTGCCAGACTCCAGAGGGCCTCCTGGTGTCGCCTGGCACTGGCCTTAGACATAATTCCCTCAGAAGCGCCACTGGGGGGCAGGAGATGTCTGACCTACAGGGACAGTGGTGACATTGCTCCCAGACACCAGGCAGAGGCTCCTCCAAGGTGTCCCCAGCCCTGGGGTGCTGCTGCCTCCCTGTGGGTCTTGGCCCCATCCAGGCCCAGGCAGCCTGGCCATGGCGCTGCCTCACAGTGTGCCTCTCCTGTCCCCAGATCACAGGCCCCTGGAGAAGCCTGTGGGTTCGGTTTGGCTACGACCCGCGCAGACACCCAGAGGCCAAGAATTACCAAGTCCTTGATTTCCGCATCCGTTGTGGAATTAAATATGGTAGGAACTACTAAAAGCTCTGCCTTTTGTCTGCACTTTCCTGTTTCTATCGTCTGTTTTGTGATAGAGGGTTCATATGGAGAGGGCACGAAACCCCTCCCTCCTGTGAGAATCTGTGGGACACGGTAGCACAGAAACGAAGGCCACAAGTCAGTCCTGGCTTCGTTGTGGGCCGTCCGTTTTCCGGTCACAACCACCTGAGATCTCATGACACGTACCAGGCCCTGCCAGCGGCACCAGCTCCCAGCCTGCTGGCCGGCGCCCGTCCCTCAGGAGCTGGTGCTGGGAGCCAGCTCCCACCTGCAGGCGCCTGTCCTTGCCCGCAGGTTATGGCTCCAGTGACATGCCTGTCAAAGCCAAGCGCAGCACCTACAACTACAGCCTCCCCATCACTGTCAAGAAGCCGCGTGAGTGCCCTGGCCCTGTCTGTGGTGGGAGGGCCCCGACCCCCACCCAGGCCTCGCTCCCGGGCCCTGCTGGCCACTCCTCCCGCACACACTGCGGAGGGAGGTGGGTGCAGGAAGCCAGGGTTCCCACCCCCATTCACCAAGCACCGCCCTTGGCCCCTGCAGCCACCCAGTTCATCAGCATGCAGGACCTGAAGCAGGGCCTGGGCCCGTCAGGCACGGCCAGCCCCCGGAAACTGGCCTCCAACAAGTACAAGCTCAAGGTGGGTGCCTCGAACCCCAGGGCGCGGGCCTGGCTGAGCAGGAGGCCTAGGGCGGGATGAGTCTGGGTGGCGCTAGGGAGGGGCTTTGGGCCCACCCAGCGCCCTCTTGCCATTCCCACCACGGGACCCTCCAGAAACAGGAGTGCAAGCACTTGGAGTCACGGAGACCAAGGGTCATCCGGGCAGAGGGGTGGTGACAGGGCTCAAGAGGGAAATGGGCGCCAGCAGCTGCATGTGGGGTCCCCGCCTGGGCCTGGCCCTGCTGAGGCCCACAGCCACCGCTGGTATGATGCAAATCAGGCGCTCGTGAGCTCAGAGCCAAAGCAAAGCAGCTGGGGTGCAGCTGGGGCCCCCCAGGGGTGCTGGGATGGACCCTCACAGGCTAAGCTTTGCCCCTGCATCACCCAGCTGTCCTCAGCACTTTCCAGAACCTTCTGATGCTTGGGATCCATGCTGCCCCCAGCCCATTCCGGAGCAGTGCACCCCCACCCCAAAGCCCCTGCCTGAGGAGGTGGGGGCTGAGCATGTGAGCGCAGCGATGAGAGGCATGCAGCCATCCCCTAGCGCCTTGGTGGCCCTGGGCCTGCTCCCCCGATTCGCCTGGCCAGGCGGCATGCCAGCCCGAGTGAGCTGCTTCTCCCATCGGGGACTAGCCCTGCCTCTGAACTCTGTGCGGGTTGGGGGAAAAGAAAGCAGACACTCATTTAAACCCTGCCTTCTTCCTGGAAGAGCTGTCAAGGCAGTGTGCAGGGGAACATGGGGTGATAGATGAGGAGTAATCAGTGAGGAACAGGGAGGCACCAGAAGTGGAGCCCTGGATGGTGCTGGTCCTACTCTGTAAGCGGGTGGGCTTCCCCAAGGCCCCAGAGGGTCTGGCTGCCACATCTCCCCCTGCCAAACCTCCTGGGCAGTCGAGTCAGAGCTTGCCTCCTCCACATCTGGTCCCCATCCTGGGCCTGGTGACCAGCCAGCTCCTTAGACCCCCATGGGAGCCCGCAACGTGTTTTTCCAACACAGCCTGCCCCGGGCTCTGCCTAACCACCCTGTTCGTTCCCCAGGACTCAGTCTACATCTTCCGGGAGGGGGCCCTGCCGCCCTATCGACAGATGTTCTACCAGCTGTGTGATTTGAACGTGGAAGAGTACGTACAGGAGGGGCCCTGAGCCACCGAGCAGGGCCTGGGGACTCTGGGCAGGGCTAGGAAATTGGCCAGGACCGGTATTTTCTGCAGCTCTTGCGCCTCGCGGCAACAAGAAGACCTGGCCCCAGGCGCCGGGCACTGCCCATGGTGCTGCTGTGTGTGGCTGGCCTGGCACCGGCGCTTCCTGTAGGAGTCAGCCTGGGTGGCTGCAGGGATCCCGCTTACTGTGGGACCTTTGCTTCTCTTCCCTCCACAATTGCTCACGTGGGGGTCCACGACACACTTCCTGTGACCGGTCAGCATCCTGGAAACCTTTCGTCTGCTTGTTCTTAGTGATGTGTAAAGAATTGCAAGGGCAGGCATCAGGATGGAGGTCAGGGCAGCCTGTCAGATGTGGCAGTGACTCCGCAGAAAGATGTTCTTGGTTACTATCTAGCTGGGTGCACAGTTTGGGGCTCCCAAGGAGCCGGCTGGGTCCACATGGGCCCCTCTAAGACTTCCTTCTGAGCATGCTGTTCTCAGCACGATCCCACCTCTGCCCTCACTGCCCACTGGCCCCTGTGAACCAGGACCCCTGTGGAATCTCGGGTCCCATGCCAACCCCCTGCCCACAGGTTGCAGAAGATCATTCACCGCAATGACGGGACGGAGAGTTTGTGCACGGAACGGGACGGGTGGTGCCTCCCCAAGACCAACGACGAGCTGAGGGACACCATGTCGCTCATGATCCGGCAGACCATCCGCTCCAGGAGGCCAGGTGAGAGCTGCACGGGGTGAGGGAGGCCAGGGCCTGTGCCTGACGTGCCACCTGGGAGACCCTCTTGCCCTGGCCCAGCCCGGTACCATATCCTGGCTGCCCAGTGAGGCAGCCTGGGCGGGAGCCATGGGCCTGGGGCCTGCGGTCCGAGACAGGAGGTGTGCAGAGGGAAGCAGCTGCAGTCCGAGGCCAGGGCCAAGACCACAGCTTCCAGGCCTCCCTCCCCACCACACTCCCTGGAGCAGCTTCTCTGGCACTGGAGCCCGGGCCCCTGTCATTGGAAAGGGGCCACCCGGAAAGTCTGCCCTGGGACACACACGACCTTGTTTCCTCCTGGCCCAGCTCTCTTCTCCAGCCCGACCAAGGCTGACCGCGCTGCAAAAGGGCAGCTTATGTTTGAGTCCGGGGAGGAGGAGGAAGAGGAAGAGGAGGAAGAGGAGGAGGAAGAAGACTTCAAGCCCTCGGATGGGAGTGAGAATGAGATGGAGACAGAGATTCTGGACTACGTGTGACCAGGCCCTGGGTCCTCGGGATGAGCAGGCGAGATGTGTCCAACCTCGTGGGGAGCCAGGGAAATCCATGCCCCACTGCCAGCCACTGATGACGGTGGCCTTGGAAGCCCTCTGAGCAAAGCCAGAATCCTGGCAGAACAGGCCCTGGGCCTGGCTGTGACCCGCTGCTCAGTATGCCCTGTCCCCTGGGTGGTGGGGACATCCCTGGTTCCTTGCGTCCATACCCAGCCCGGGCTCAGGACCTCTCGGGCTGAGCCTGCTGAGAGCAGAGGTACAGATGGAACAGCTCGGGGCACAGCCATCTCGGCTGGGTCTTATGACGCTTGCTGGTGGCAGAGATGGCATGAGGAGCCTGGACCATGGTCACCAGCGGCCAAAGCCTATGCCTGGTTTTGGATGCCATCTGTCTGGGGTCCCTACAGAGCCCAGGCCCAGCCGGAATTGTCCTATTAAGTCAGTCTTTCAAGGAGTCTTGGTGTTGGGGCTGCAGGGGAGTTTCCTCTTGCTTTGGGGTTCCCAAAGCAGCTCCGTTGCTCCTTCCCTTGTTTGGGGACAAGGCCTGTGCGCTCCTCCACAGGGTGTGACAAGGACACTGGGAGTGACCTGGGCTGCACTCATCCCTGACTTCCCCGAGTGGACACCTTCAGGGCTCCCGGGAAGCAGGCCCTGTTGTCTCATCGCTTCCTGAGTGGAAGCGGAGACTCACGTGCCTGCCAAGCCTGGCTGCTGGGCATGCACTTCTGTGTGGGATGCTCCCGTGCTCCCCATGGGGCAGCAGGGCCACTTCCTGCAGGGCACTGAGCCCAGATGGGCCGTTAGCCTGTTTCTGTGGGTGACCCTGAGTCCTCCCAGAAGTGTGGTATACAAAACAGTCACTCATCCCAAAGCCAAAGGCCTCAGGCCAGCTCCCTCCTACAGGCCAGATTCCTGGGAAACCCCTTCCCATGGCAAAATCTTAAGTCTGTCTTAACTTTTGGATCAGGAATCAAGCACGGCTCTCCTCTGCCTTCTGCTTTCTACCAGGAGGTGAGGTGGCACCAGGCCCCAACCCAAAGCTGAGCGCAGCTGGCACCAGGCTTTTGGTCTCCAAAAGTGTGAGCAAAATAAACCTTTTTCTCGGTGAAGTATCCGATCTCAGGTATTCTGTTACAGTGACAGCACAGGAAGACAAAGGGCCATTCGCCTTAGGGAATGTCCATCTTCCGGATTCAGCTGGCTGCTTCCCACTGTGGCATTTGATTCTCACCTTTTTCCCCAGGTTTCCTGTGAACTGGAGAAGCTTGGGCCACATTCAGCCCTATGTTAGTTGCTCTCATTTCTGAGACGAAATAGGTGACACCCTAAGTTAAAAGGGAAGGGGTTTATTTAGCTCCCAGTTTGGAGAGATTTCAGTCCATAATCGCTGGCTCCAAGGCAGGGATGGCAAACAGGTGTCACAGAGGAGAACCAACATGGCGCACACAAGGTAGCAAGGTAACGAGAGTTTAACAGCGTCTCTCTGCCCCTTTTATCTTATTCAGACTACCGGGATTAGGGTGGTACCAAACTAGTCACTCATGTAGTGGTTTAGTAATCACATGCCCTTAACCCTAGCATCACACATTCCAGACTCCTCCACCTCTGAAAAAGAAAGCCCCACATCATCCATACGAGGCTTGGCGGGACAGCAAAGAACCATGACAAGGCCCAAAGCCTGTGCCTGGGTCATGGCGGCTGGGCTGGAGACGCAGGCTGTCCGCTGGGTGTCTGGTGTGGGCCTCACCCACTGGCCTTTTATCTGGCGGCTGTTACTGGCCCTGGATAATCACTTGGGTCCATGGCGTCCTTAGGGACTACAGAGCAGTGGTTGTTAGATTCCATCGCTGCCGTGCTATGGAGGACTGGCCCTCCTCATCCATTTGATTACCCTGAGACACCACTGGGACCGGGGAGGCAGGAAAACGCCCACTTCCTCCTCTGTAAGCTCTCAATGTGCAGATATTCCTCTGCTTCCAACGGGGTTCCACCCCCCTGGTAACCCGTCATAAGTTGAGACGTACCATCCGTGGAAAAGGCATTCAGTACACCTGGCCTCACTCACCTTGCACATACTCCAAGCACTTGTGTTAGCCCGAGGTGGGGCCAGGCCATCCAGCACAGAGTCTGTTTCCGTTAAGGTGCTGAAACAGCTTGTATTTATTGACTGCCTTAAAGAAGAAAGTGAAAAACCCAGTGGTTGTAGGGCTATGCTTTTGCACCATTCCAAGTCGAACCTTGTAATGAGGGCGTCTGTCATGTGCCATAGTCATGGCCGGGATGACCAGGGGCCTCCCCTCACCCCAGCTGGGGCGACCTCTCAGATGAGTTGCGGTCAGTTGTAGGGTGCTTCTTGATGTCTACTCTGTCCCTGGCGGTGGGCAGCCCAAGGGCAGCTCCTGAAGGCCTTGGCCCCAGCCCTCTGGTCTGCCTTGCTTCTTTCCTGGGCCCCTGGCTGCCCGGGCCCCTGCTGTGCATTTCCTGCCCTAGGCCTGCAGCCGTCTCCCCTGGGGGCCTGCCTGCCTTTGGCAGCGTCCTGTCACTGTGACAAAATACCTGGGAGAGTCAAAGAGGAAAGGTTTGCTTTGGATCCCCGATTCAGAGGTTTTCGTCCTTGAATACTTAGCCAGTGGCTTCAGGCTGGTGGGGGCACAGGGCATGGTGGCAGTAGGAGCACGTTGTGGGAGAGGCCACCCACGCTGTGGCGGCCTGGAGCTGAAGAGAGGGGAGGCCTGGGTGCTAACGCCCTCCGAGGGTACTTGCACTGGCCTAAGCACTACAGGGCCCTGCCTTCCCATGGTGCCACCTCTGGCCAGGAGTGTGGGCTGGTGACCAAGCCAAGGCACAGTCCGGGACATCCAGGCCCGCACCAGGACGCTTGGCTTGGAAGGCCCACGGTCCTCCCTGCCAAGCTGAAGATGTGAATTCAGTTAACAGAGGAAAAAGGAGTTCATACATTTATTTCCAAATTGAAATACATAAGGGTGAAGGTTTTACTTCTGATTTTACATTTATTTCTTTTCCTACCTGTGGTGAAAAATCTTAATTCCTGACAACACTGGCATATTAATTGTCTTTCTCCTATAACATACATGGAATATTTTCAAAATAAGAGTATTTCAAGTGGCGAGAATGTGGTGGCATATACCTGTAAACACAGCGCTCTGCAGACTGAGGCAAGAGGGTCGAAAGTTTGAGTCCAGCCTGGGCTACTTAGTAAATTAGGAAGAACTGATCACAAACTTGTGAAAAAGAAATTTTAAAGGGCTGGGGATGTAGCTCAGTGTGAAAGCCCTGGGGTCGGTCACTAATAACACACACACAACAAATAACAAATAATAGAAATAGATGTTAACAAGGCCCCGTTTTCTCACTGCCTCCGCCCCCCTCAGCTGCACCAGCAGCTCTGAAGTGAGGACCCCACCACACCCCACCCTGCGCCCCATTCAGAAACTTCCTGCAGCACTGCCCAGAATCCCAGGAGCTGTCACAGGCCTGGCTCGCCAATACGTTTCCTGTTCAGCCCCCTCCCTGGTCTTCCCGCTGTCCCCTGCCACCCCCCGCTGTCCCCAGCTCCCTGCGCCCCTTGAGCGTGGAGAAACCCTG